ACATACAGTATATATGTATGTATGTATGTATGTATGTATATGTATATATATATACATATATATATATATATATATATATATATATATATATATATATATATATATATATATATATATATATATATATATATATATAAATAAATCACTGTAGGTGCGCGTGATCTAGGTATATGCTGATAACACAAGGAAAGAAGAAAAACACGAAGTGGTTATCAGATATATATATATATATATATATATATATATATATATATATATATATATAAACACTGAACCTCGTCAGTCCCATCATATATGTAAATATTTACTAAAACCAAAATCTTATAAACAGTTCTGTATAGATAAGCTTGTGTGCAAGTTTCAACAGCCTTTGTATATGAAGGCGAGATGTAATTGGTGATCTCACATGATTGTTACTACGGCCAGGGTGAGATTCCTATCTCACGACTCACTCCTCTTGAAACCAACGCAGCACGGTTGAGCATGAAGGAAGTTGAACAAGTTTTCCTACCAGGAAATATGAAACTAAATAAGAAAATGAGGTAATAGACAAAAAGAGGTGCTCCTCAAATTATAACACATGACTTTTATGAACTAATATATCAACAATAGACGTAACAGGGCCCGAGAGCTGAAATTTACAAAGAAAACTTAATCACATCACAAAAAATTCCTGAAAATATGATTTATCTTGGAATTACTTTGGAGTGACCGAACAAAGTTGTACAATGAGTTTTTTCGTTTGGCCTGCCATGGCCAATGCCAGCTGCCACCCGTCGACTCTATACACTCTGTCGCCGCCAAGTCTAGTGAATCCACCTATGACTCTAAACTCCCCTCCCCCCCAGCGAAACAAATGTCCTGTTCCTCCTACACAAACCAGAGCGACCCATGGAGGAGGAACGTTGTCAGTTTACACAGCTATAACCGGCCTCCTTACAGCCAGTAACGGACTACAGCAAACTATGGTGACCTTTTCCTCCGTCACCCAAGTAGTTCCTCCCACTAAACTAGCCTAGCACTGAGGAAGAATCTGACTGTGAATCTCGAGCGGCGACAGGTTATGGTGGTTGGGAGGCGGGGTCATTAGAGACTATGAGGCATTTTCAAGACAGTATCGTGAGTCAGCATTATGGCGACCATGACAACACCCACATGTGTGCGCGTTTCATTTATGGCTGTATATATATATATATATATATATATATATATATATATATATATATATATATATATATATATATATATATATATATATATATATATACAGTACATATATACAGTGGGGTATGCTATAACGAACGTAATTGGTTCCAGAACCTCGTTCGTTATAGGATTAATCCGTTTCAGGCCCCCAAATACAACCACTTAACACTGAAAAAATTCTGTGGAAAATGTAAAAAATACGGTACTTTATCTTACCTTAGTGTTATTCAGCATGCAGGTACCCCTAAACACTGGCACATCACTATCACTTCCACTGGGTCTTGGCTTTAAGGTCCTCAAACAATTGTCTGGCCTTCTCACTTCACTAATGTTACCACCTGCCATTTCTTTCTCCTTTATCCACACTAAGAGTAAATTTTCCATCTCTTCAATCACATTACACTTTGCTTTGCTAAGTCTAAAGATTCCCTTAGCCACTTGCACAGTTTTTAACTCCCCTTTATTCTTCAAAATCGTACATATAGTCGATTTAGCCATCCCATACATCACTAAGTTTCGCAATGCTTCTTCCATTCTCACGTTTCTTTATAATTTCTTTCTTAGTTTCAAGGGTTATTAGCTTTCTCACTCGCTTTGGACGATTCATTGTTACAATTGTATACTTGTACAACAAAATAGTTATACAAATAACGCGAATTTCCACATTAAAAGACGAAATTTCAACAATAACAGTGGTGCACTGGCTACACAATGGACAAAGATGGCGCCTGACGCTCTTGTTGTGGGTCGCGGTACAACAATATTCATGCGCCAACGAAATAGTCCCGTATTCATCCGCGTTCGTTGTAGGAGTTGCGTTCGTTATAGCATTCTCAGTTTTATAGGTAAAACCGTTCGTTATAGGAATATTCGTAGTATATATACCCCACTGTGTATATATATTTTTATATATATAAATATATATATATATATATATATATATATATATATATATATATATATATATATATATATATATATATATATATATATATATATATATATATATATATATATATATATATATACAAGATGAATAAAAGTATCAACGAATGGGTAAACAACATGTTTATACGGCGAAGTCTTGACAATATCTCGCCATGAAATAATATGTAATATCGTCAATATTAAAAATTACACTACTGTATGACACTAAAATTTACTACATTTAACATCACATAAAAAATCGCAGAGTAGCAGGAGCTTGGCATCTAATTTAGTTGAATATTTGGGCATTAGATAGCGCGTTGTCTGCTTTTCGTCTGCTATGTTTACAAATTTGACAGGGAGTGCGGGACAATTCAAACTCCTTAGTACAAGATTATCGGGAAATATGGCTCCACATGGCACGGTAAGGCAGAGGGAACAGCTCAAAGAACTCCTGAAGTGCTTAAAGAAGAAGAGGGAGGGATAATCGATGAAAAATAAGATCGGGTATAGATGAGGACAGGGAGACGCCCCCACGACCTCCCACCAATGAGGCGAGAGCCATGTAAACAATGTCATCTCCAGCCACCCCCCCCCCCAAAAAAAAGAAAAAATACGACGAGTGTACTGTCTGCTTATCATATGTGCTTCATATACTTTTTATGTACATCTTTAAGCTTGCATGGACTTCTTCTAGCTTTTTATGGCTTACTTTAATGATTGTGTGCTTACTTGCTTGTTATGTGCTTCCAAGTGCTCTCCGATCTGCATGTCTACATTATTTTTGTATAATGCTGGAATTGGAATGACTTTTGATAACTAATTTTGAATGTTGGTTGTCTATTTTTTTTTTTATTAATTCTATTTGTAATTATACATGAATATAAAAACATAAAAGAACATCATTGCTGAATTATGCTTAGACTATTCAGAAGAATGAGAGGGAAAGGACACTAGCCCAATTTAAATGATCTAGTACGGTTTTCTTTGACTAATGGAATACCTTAATATAACCAAAACGTTTTCTATTCGTTTCCTTTTGGTATTTAGCTTCTCGGCCTATAGGTGGCGCTTGAATAAACTTTTGACATCTAGAAAATAAAGGGATCATATGGGAGAGCTACTTCTTAAACAGACTATACAGATATTTCTTGGTTTATAGTGTAATCTTGTGTTGAATAGGGGGCCCCTGTCGGATTGTTCTAAACGAGCAGCGATAAAAGAGAAAGCAAAATATATATCAGCAGACAGACAGTAAAAAGTAAAAGAGAAAAAAGACGGACAGAGAAAGAAGCTGGTAGTGTACGTTCTAGTGAAAGAACAAGGATAAATATACCCAGGAGCCAGCCAGCGCCCGGGCAGCAAGGATGTTGCACCACTACCAGCTGTAAAAACACTACTGACAATCCTCCATAACACAAACGTGGTCGAAACGTTCTTAGTCTCCAAACAGTTATCACGAACTAAAGAGAGAGCACAAGATGAATACGTTCTCCTTCATCCCCCCAACGTCTGGCCGTCAGAGAATAGCAGCACTAAGCTCAACCATATCAATATTGTTGTTGTTGCTCGCTTTGTGTCATTATGGAGAAATAAAAAAGATTAATTTCAAGTTCAATCTTACGGCTTCGTGATCCATCGTCGATTTCTTCCACTATGTCTATTATCGCCACACTGGCTATACTATGGGTGTCTTTAACGTTATGATAATTATCTCAGACTTATATGATTGTCGTCTTGTTGCAGCTCCTCACACTCTGACGAGAGAAAATTTTACGTTTGCTCTTTTCGTATCCTTGGCGAGTCTTATTATTACAATAGCTCTTGAAATCCTAAGATAACACCTTGAATTTCTCCGATTAATTATTAAATACAACCTAAAGGCGTTCTTTTCAATCCTGGTTCCTCTATGATGTTGATTTTGAGACTGGTAAAATAGACGGACCCTACTCTTAACAGGCCCAAAGCAAATCTTGCCTAATGAGTTCGTCCTAATGAGTTCCAGTCCTAATGGTTCCTAATCCCAATGGTTAGGTGTGTATGGGGTCTATTAGAACTGGGGCCCGTTTGACCAATAACTATAATTTTGTGAAGGTGATCTTGCTAAATGGAGTTTAATTTCTTCGGAGTATCACTTGAAAAGAATGTCAGTTACCCTCTCCCTTTTTTATCACATCCTTTATTTTCCATCTTATCCTTTCCTCTTCCCTCGTTTTCCTCCTACTTAACTATCAATTATCGAACCATTCTGCAGTTTATTGATATACTTTCGTGATTTTCTTATCATTTATCCTATTTACTTTTATTCTCCTCGCCACTCGACTCGTTAGCCGCTTGGGCGGTCGGTCACGTCTCTGTTACGCACTGTTGGCAAGTACTATGCATGAACTGGCTCCTGAATATATCGAAACCTGCTCCAGTGTTGGTCGAATCTGGTCTTGAAAGAGCTCACATTCGTTGCCGTCACAACTCTCTCTGACAGATTGTTCCAAGAGTTTACAATTCTCACTCCGAAAAAGTTTGCCCTCACTGTTTTCTGAACTGTGGCTTCTTCAACCTTGAGCTGTGACCCCTTGTGGGGCGAGCGTCCGCCAGCTCCAGGTATGTACTTTCGACAGAATAGTGCCCTCTGAGATGTTTGTACTTTTCGATTAGGTCGCCCCTTGCCCGTCCGATATATTTTCTTAGCATATTAATCTTCTCTCTTTGCCATTTCTTGTATAATCTTAAATTTACTGTGTATATTTTATTTCTCTCCTTCCTATTTCCAGTTACAAGTTCTCCGATGCTCTGTGCCGTTATCATAGTTCATCCTTCTCTCTCTCTCTTCGTATTTTTATTGACACTTATGCATCCCCTCCCTGCAGCGTCTAGGGGCGAGGGTGTTATGCCTGACCGACTTGCTCTCAGCCGTGGGTCTCCCTGACGAGGCCACCAAGCAGAAGGTAAAGACAATACCTCTCCCGATACTCACAGCTTCTTTCCCTAACATCACCCTTGACTGGAGGAGTAGCAAACGAACGCATCTAGTTCATGTAGAGCCTCAGTGGGTTTTTTTTTTTTGTACACTCAGTTTTAGTCTGAATCAGAGGTTATCGATTAAATGCGTTCTCACGTCTCCAGTCATGTGGTGGAATCTTAATGTACGATCACGTGAGCAGCCGAGTGTTGAAGATGTGAAGGTGACCGGGATGTGTCTTCGTTGATTATTTTGCTATCTATGTTGGCAGTGTGTCTAAGGTGTGCTGAGCAGTTTTACGGAGTTTTGTTGCGCTTTGTACAATGTTGCAGTGTCTCAGTGTCTCATTCCATTTGTGATAAGATTTTTGGCATTTATATTTGCTTCAAACCTACAGTAGTTATTGTCCATATTTGCCAACAATGTCCCTTTTGTTTTAGTAATCAAGTCTGTTTTACTATTATCTAACTTCACGATCCATGTCTCTCTCTTCAATTTTGCCGATTTGTTTTGCCTTTGTTTATTACTCTGTGGTTTTTGAGAGATTTTATTTTTTGCTTCAGCGCTGTTTATTATCCTTGTTTATCAAGATTGTCTGTTTTTTGTTTGTTCTGCTTCTTTTTTTTTACTCAGCTGTTTGTTACTTTTCATTTTTGAGCTAAATTACACAATAATCGCATTAAAATATGTTGTGTGCGGTGAATATTTTTTTTTATTATAAAATATTTAACACACGTCATCGTATTTTAATCAAGGTTTCGTCTTCTCTATGATTTTGTTTATAATTATGTCACCTTTTATGGCCATGAATAGCAGGCGCTCTTCGCTTCCCACACACAGTGAGTATATAACGTTCTTAACCTTCTTACTGCCAGATATAGCAACACATAGAAGGTAGAAGTGTACTTTAAGTAACAATAATTCGGGAGATCATTCTAAAGCAAAACTACGGGAAAAGGTTTAAATGTTAACTTCAAATTGTCCAGAACTGAATAACGTTATTGTATTATTTCAACATTACACCAAATATTATGTATGGTAAGTTCATTTGTGTGTATAATCGTATGATCTTGTAATAGTGTTCCACGAGCAAAAAAAAAAATTTAAAAAACACTTGGGGTAAATCACTGTTCTAAGAAACAAGTGATTTCAAAGAAAATAAGTACAATGTGCATATACAGAAAATAAACAAGGTGCTTAAACAGACCTCCAACGTGTTTAATTGTGCCAGATTCTGCCAAGTTTAACAAAGCCAAAAGATTTGATAACTTGTCTAAAAGTCACCAATCCGAATAGGAGCCCCTAACCTAACTCAGTCTAACCTAACTATTAGGAATATTTCCCAACCCTTGTGGGTCTCGTACCATATAGGTTCCAATTTTAATTTTTATATATATGTTTTTTTTATTTTTCCCCCCAGGGGGCTAGTTTATTGGGCACCCCTTGCATCCTGTGCAAGATGAAGCGCAAAGGTGTTTACAGCGCTCAACTGGAAAGCATGCGTAATTCATGCTTGCCTTCATGTCTCCTGCATTAAGGGCGCAAAAGCCTGAGGGTCATGGGTTTTGTCCGCAAGTTACATAAAGTGACACGGTAATGAGTGTGTGGAGGGAAAACTCCCGGTACAATTCATCTGTTTATGGCAAAGCGTGGCAGGTCCCAAATAAATTAAAGTGCCAGTCCTGTCTCTAGGAGGAGGGATATTTGGTCAGGGAGGGAAGAGGTGTTGGTAACAGGGTCATCAGTGGTTTGTAGGTAAGAAAGTCAGGAGTTACCCCGGGAGATTGGGCGGGGCCCTTGGGAGCAGAGACTGGGGTGTCGGGCATTGAGGTCCCCCACAAGGAGGGTAGGGGTGGAGGTGATATGTTGTGGTAGGATAGGTACAGTAGAGGTGGAGGGAGGCACAAAGGCATAGGCAATATTGAGGGACATACCTTTTAGTGTGATTGTGATGGCGTGTACGTCGGTAGTGTCGGCATCAAGGGGGACGTCGAGAGGTTGGCAGGTGTTGTTGAAGAAGGAGACGTTGCTTGAGACAGAGGTAGGGGTGCAGAGGGAGGCGGCCCAGTAGACTGGGGGAGAGGTTGCGGATGACGCAACCTTCGGGAGGCTTTTCTTCTAGGACAGACGGGCGTTTGGGGCATTGCCGTTAGTCAGCATTGTGTCAACCACCACAATTACAGCACCTAGGGTCAACAAAATAGCCCACACCACCCCCATTGAGGTGGTCTTTGATTTTCTGGGCACAGACGGAGGAGTGATGGTTACTCGAACAGAAACGACATCTGGGACGATCACGACGGCAGCAGGCGGTGAAGGTGTGACCCCAATGGGAGCAGATAACACAAAAAGCAGGCTCGGGATGATAGGGTTCTGCATACAGTGGAGGGAGGACTGGGTGGGCCTCAACAGTGGTTGAGCACTCCCTCCCCTTCCATTTAACAATGACAGCTGCTTGTGGGGTGTTCCCCCGGTAGTGTCGACGTATAATGAGTATACGTGGATTAAAGTCACGAACATCTTCGACATTTTAATTAATCTCAAAGACCAGGATAGTTTAAAATAGGTCATGATCTATTCGAGATGTATTTTGATAAGGTTGTATTTGTAAGAACTGGAGCCTGTTAGGACTGAAACCAAGTAGAACTGTGGCCTATAAGACCTGAAAGCAAGTAGAACTAAGGCCTATTAAGATTAGGACCTAGTCAGATTGGGGCTTATCAGATATGGGGGCCCAGGTGAACTGCAGCCTTCTGAGAATATCCTAAAGGAACAAACAAGAGCCGGTTATTGGTGCATCAGCACGTCTTTCCGTCCACCTCCCACTCAGTCTCACTCTCATCCCTCCCACTCTGATCTAGAAGAACTGAGAAATGCAGAGAGACCTGGCAGCTGTAACATTAGTAAATATGACAAATTTTGTGACAAGAGGTACCGGTATGGCCAGCATAAGGACAGAACTCGACAATGTGATATAGATGTGGCCAGAATTAGGCTAGGATACAGTCACATCTGCCAAGTTAGTAACGCTGTACCCATACAGGAACACTCGACATGTAAACTTTGTGATAAACCTTTAAAGCATACACTTGAACACTATATTACTGAATGTGACACTGTCAAAGACTTCAGGCCACCTGGCTTATTGTATCATGACTCTGTAATTACTACATTGAATCAGGGGTGCTCGAGGACATTTTTGCTGTTTATCCAAAATTTGCTAGCCCACACTGATTAGTCTTCAATTAGAATATGACGTCCAATGTATTAGAACCACTGTCCTGCATGGCAGTGAACAGTGACATCACCCACATGACTCTGACCTATATATACTGCTAATGAATATGATCCATTTCTTTGTGTATGAACCTCTGTCCTGCGTGGCAGTAAGAAGTGATACCACCCTCAGTGTCAAGACCTGACTGAATTACTCAGAATAGGCAAACTGTACTCCAAGCTGTCAATAAATTTGTTAAACTAAAACTCCCCCTCAAGTCCCAATCTACCTCCTCAACTCTCCACCCTCCTCCTCTTCCTTCTTCTCTACTCTCCAACCTTCTCTTCCTCCTCAGTTTTACATTCCTTTCTTCCTCCTCTTCACCATCACCTTCCTCATCCTTCTTCCCCACACGTTCCCATCTCATTCCCCTTTTCTTACTTCCCTACTTTTCTTCTACTCATGTTTCTTCATTTCTCCCATGGCTATGTAAGAAATTTTGAAGTATTTTGTAGCAAGTGTCCTGGTGTGTTCTATAATAGTAATTCTTGTAGGTGTCCCTCTAATGGGAACGTTATGAAGAACAGCGCGCGCGCGCGTGTGTGTGTGTGTGTGTGTGTGTGTTAGTTTCCTATATAATTCCAGCTAGCATCGTACATAAGGAACATTAGTTAGCCCACATAATTTGTCAAATCCATGAACCAAAAGTGACGATGATTTATGAAAACATCAACACAAAAAAAACTTTGTAGCGCTAGATTTGCTCCCAAGGGCACGGCGGAGTATGGTAAATATTTACACTCACTTGAGCGTATTGCACACTCATATAATAACAATTACGGGTATAAACGTGAAGATGAATCCAACATATGATATACTATTCATAAACAAACTGTTTTCATTTGTTTTATAGACAGCCAGGAGAGTGTTATCGGTGAAATTATATCCATTATTACTGTTAATACTACCATGGTACTACAAATACAAGAGCAGTTAGAACAAAAATAACAACAACAACAACAACTACTACTACTACTACTACTATTGAACCTGTAGTTGGTATAATAATCATTTCCCTCTGCCATACAACAAACATTATTGCTGAAAATATACTTTCCATTTTTTTTCATTAAACTTTTTCTGTCCAAAAGTTGTCATAAAAGTTCAACACACAACACACACGATGATAAAGTCTGCCAGAGGGAATTGTACACTCAGACAAACAACTCACAAAGTCTCGGACAGGGATACGAACACACCCGCTTGGACGGTCCCCTGAGCTGTCATTTCCTCAGCCAGCAGGAACACGGTCGTAGTTGATGTGCCCACCGCTACGAGGATGTGCTCACCAGTGTATTCCTAATATTAAATGTATTAAAATAAAGAGTTCCTGACCGTAAGTCAGAGGGGATGCTGGTGACAGTCACTGGCATTAGAAAATCCAGGGTGACGTAAGTGGGGTTTAACGTTGCCATTGGTGGAGGTTGTGAGGTGTAAGGAACCCACATTTTACCGAGACTAACCGCTATTCCCCTTATTGACTCCTTCTCTCTCTTCTTCACACGAAATTTCATTATGATTTAACCTCAAAAGAAGTTTCTATCAAAATGAAACTGTTTCAAATGGAGCACAGGTAAACCAGCGAGATAAAGCGAGAGCCGGCACCTGAGGTAACCAGCCAGCATCAGTATATACCGTGATCCCCGCAAGAGCGCACTATTAATACGCGTAACTCTGAGGCATGAGCAAGGTACCGTGTGCTGGTGCTC